AATGGCAAGGAAAAGGGGTGTCCTGCCCAATTCAATTCATGTATTTCTGTATGCTATTGGTTGTCTCCCTAGAAATGGATTCTGTGGAGGCAGAGAGCCACAAGTGACATTTTCTGGAGGACTAGAGGAACTGTGTACTCTGCTGTAAGATCCTTGAGGAACTACTGTGTGTCTTCCAGTGTTGAACACCCATAGATCAGGACTGAGGAAGCCTTATCTTAAGTATCTTGGGTGGCTCTCCTGTGTCATGGCTCTACTCCCCCCACCCTCTGGCAGTGTTAGCAAGAACTTAAAGCTGAGCTGGACTTAGGACCATGCTTGTCCTGGGCTCCAAAGTTCACATGAGGCGTTCCTTTGAAGAGGACTTCTCCCTGATTATCTGTGGCACATGCCCTTTGGAGGCCAGCAAGCTAACTCTGGGGGGAAGGAGGGAGTGGGTAGCTCTCACAAAGCACTCACTGGAGAAACTCAGCTTGCCAAGGCTGTTGCATGATTGGCTCACTTGGGGAACTTAATGAAAATGGAGTATGGTCAAGGCTGCCTGTGCTCCAGATCTCACTTTCCTAATCATCATTGTAATTGAGCTGTTCAAGCATCTTTATCATCCACAATAAGGACTTACCCCACCTGAGTGAAGTACACTGGTTACTTCATCTAGGTTGAACAGTTAGTAATGCCATGTAACAAACCATTCCCGAACTCATTGGCTCAAGAGTAGCTATTTATTCTGTAGGGTTTTCTGTTCGCTGGAGCTCTGTAATGATCCCCACCAAGCTTGCTCACACTCTGTGGACGAGCTGGGCCCAGCTGCTTCCACTGGGGCAGCTCTGATCCATGTTTTTTCATCGTCCTGGATCCAGTTGGCTCTATGGGGCGTGTCCTTTCAAAGTGGTAACAGAGACATTGGAGGTCAAGTTCAACCCCACACAGTTTCAGGCTCTGCATCTTACCTGCTATTCTCTTGGAGAAGTCTTTTTACTGTACCTTTCCCCACCAGTCACCTGAGTCCCAAGTCACTTCTTGGGATTCTGCAGTTCATCTGCCATTGGCTGCCCCAACCTGATGCATTTGCCTTCCCGCTGTCCCCTTTCTGCCAGGAACTCAAAAACCCTACAAGTCCACATCACCTGCTTGTTTAGTGCACTTCTGTCTGCCCCACTGTCCTTTCCTGTTGAGATATAAAACACCTGACCAAGCATCCTAAGGTCTCTTATGCTCCCATACAGTCGGTCAGGAAGTCACGATGGCAGGAACTCAGCAGGGGTCCTCACACGCATCTGTGGTGCGAGCAGAGAACAGGGAATTTATGCATGTGTGTGCTCACATTACTGTCTGCATTTTCACACAATTCAGGATTCCCTGCCTAGGGATTAATGCCACCCATGGTGTGCAGCTTTTCCCATCTCAGAGTAATGAAGCTAATGTGCCCAAGGCTGACCTGATCTTGGAATCCCTGATTGATGGGAGCCCCAGTTCAAACAGTCTCCTCCATGGCCTCTGCCCTCACACCCACTTTCTCTGTGTCAATGCTGACACTTGGTTACTGTCTGTCTTCTCAACCACAGGGTAAGCTCTAAGGTTGGGGGGGACTGCATTTTGCTGCTAAGGAGGCCCCCAGTGCATGCCTGGCGTGTAATGGTACCCAACAGTTGTTGGAATAGAGGAGGGGTAGGGGCAGGTCCTTTGTGGTGAGCACAGTGTTTCTGCTTGCTCTCCTGAGGTCATTTGTAGCTTCACTCCGGAAGGTTAGCTTTATTATTAGGTGTTGTGCCCCTAATCTTTCTAAACTCTGAACCTAGTTCTGCCTTCAAGCACCACATAGGAGAAAGAAAGGGCAGTTATTCCTTCTGTATTATCTGGTGACCCATGTTACTCCTTTTATTAGTCTTACAAGAGGACTGGAAATAAAATTTTAGTTCTGCTTAATTAAATCACTCATGGCCACTTTGATATCTTATTATTTACTCAAAGTTTATTAGGCTAAACATTTCTCATATTTTAAAAAATTCACAATTTTTGGGAGTGGAGTACTCTGCTGTAAGATCAGAAGTTAGGAGCAGTCATGCTGTATCATGAAGACCTGTTTTGGAGTCCTGCACCCATGTCAGGTGAATCACAAATACCTGTGACTCAGGTCCCAAGGGGTCCCACACACACTCTTTTGTCTTCTGTGGTCACCCACACACTTCTGTGCATACACAGACACTCAAATACTTTTAAAAATTTACAGTTAGCCCAAATGGCACTTTTGTATCTGTATTTTTTCTACAAAATATCATTTCTTAAGTATCCTCTGGTTAAACTCCCATGGTATTTAGAGGATAATATAGAATGTAGTCACTTAACTATTTTTCTGTGGTGATTTTCATTTGACAACATTGATTAAAATATAAATTGTGTGTGTGTGTGTGTGTGTGTGTGTGTGTGTGTGCAAGAGAGAGGGAGAGAGAGAGAGAAAGAGTGTAGTTGGTGTTTTTACTCTTTGGGGGCACACTACCCAGTTCCCAAATAAACACATGGAGACTTATTCTTACTTAGGAATGCCCCGCTTTAGCTGGGCTTCTTTCTAGCCAGCTTTTCTAACTTAAATTATCCCATTTCTCTTTAACTACATTTTGCCTCTGGACTTTTTACCTTTTTTTATTCTACCTATCTTTCTTTCCTTCTTAGTCTGTGGCTGGCTGTGTGGCTGGCCCCTGGAGTCCTTCTCTTCTCCTTTTATCTCTCAAGCCTAGATTTTTTCTTTCTGTTTATTATTCCCTACCTGGCAGCCCCACCTATCCTTTCTCCTGCCCTGCTATTGGCCATTCAGCTCTCGACCAATCAGGTGTTTTAGACAGGCAAAGTAACATAGCTTCACAGAGTTAAACAAATGCAACCTAAAAGAATACAACACATCTTTATATCATTAAATAAATATTCCAGAGCATAAGTAACACATCTTCAACTAATATTCCACAACAGATGAGCATCTGTGTATGGGGGTAGTGTGTGCAAGTGGTTGACTTCAATTGTCTGCTTCTACCAGTCTCCCCATTGTTTGAGCCAGGGTCTCTTTCAGAGCCTCACCTTGTCATTTTGACAAGGCTGGCTACCCAGCAAGACCCCCAGGATTCACTTGCACTTTTCAATGAGTATTTGAAAAGGGATTTTAAAAATAAGGTAAACCATAATCATGTTAATTTTCTTTGTCACAGAGAGTGAAGGGAGACAAAATCAGAAAGCCTATGACTCACACTGGCATTCATGGAAGTGTCAGTGTTTACTAGAAGTCACAAAGAAAAAAACTCAAACTGTCAACACATAGCAATCGGCAGCTTTTATGTTCTCCACAAATAAAATTAAAAAGACATGGATAGGAGAAAGTTATTTCCAGCAATAAAAATAAAGGGCTATACTTATTATTCTTTATGTATAAAAGTTATTATAAATAACTAAAAAGTCTTAAATCCCAATAGAAATGAGCAAAGAACATAAAGTAAACATGAATTCTCCATAGCTAGTAAATGTTGAAAAAGCTGTTCCTTTTGTTTGTGAGATTGGCAAATTTTGAGAGCCAGTAGAGGCATGGAGATGGAGGGACACTGACTGTATTTATAGGAATTTGAGCTACACAGCTTTCTGGAGAGCAATTTAGCAAGTCTGAAGTGGCTCCCGAAAGCCCAACTTGACACCCCCTCTTATTTCCTTTAGTCTGTCATGACAACTGTCGATGGATGTTCTCAGGAGTATTCCCTGTAGGCATTGTTTGCAAAATTACTTAAAAACCAAACAATACAAAACAAAAACAAACAAACAAACAAAAACTAAATAAGGGTGATAGAGAAAGTTTGGTGGGTAAAGTTCTTACTATGAAAATATGAGGCCCTGAGTTCAGATTCCCAGCATGTACATAAAAGCTGGCTGGTGTGTGTTTGTAAGCCCACAGGGTAGGTGGCTTCACTAAATAGACAGGATTTCCCCCCATTTGTTAGACTAGAAGCCCATGACCCAAGCTCCATTTCCAGCTCTCTTCCTGCCTGACTCTCCCTCTTTGCATATCTGGGAGTAGGAGGAACAAGCAAAGCACCATGGGGCTTCTTCCCTTCCAGAGACCCAGCTGGGGGTTAGGGCTTCTGCACATAATTGAGACTGAGCAGTGTTTGCAGAGTAGATTGTAGGGCAAAAGAGTCACCTGTCCAGATCCTCACTTCACAGATGAGGTAGACAAGTCACTTAGAGTCGGGCCTCCAGTATCAAAATGGGTCCCCTTTCTCATAATAGTCTTGTCTAAAGGAATCTGGGACGAACTGCACCACAGCCCAAAAGCCCAGAGGCATGTGTCCTGCATGGCAGAGACTCTGTCCTGTTCCTTCAGACCACATCTCTAAACATTCCCAAATAACACTGACTGTCCCACACAGGCCTGCTGAGCTGTACAGTAGCAGGAGTCACTCTCTTGACTGACAGTGTCCAGGAACATTTCAGTACTAAATCATTTGGGAAGCTCACTTCCAAACCCCAGCTCTTTATAAGGGCTGCCAGAAGCATCAACCACATTGCAACCCCAACACCCCACAATTAACACATTCAGAGAACAACTGACAAGCTTAGATTTGGCATGTTGAATCTGTCCTGCCTTAAAAAAAAATCCCTTTTACTTAACTATAGTTTTCTTCTAAAATCTGTGTTTTGCCCTGCGTGAGTTCTTCGCAGTGCATCCTGACATGGGCATGAACAGGAGGATAAGCACGTGAGTGCGATGGTGATTGCCGATGATGAAATTTGGGCTCATAAAATCAAGGATATTATTCAAAAGAGTGAGGTAAATTAGTCTCATTCATTCTGATGGGGCTAGACTCCGCAACTGTGTATGCCATATTTAATTAACATTCTGAAAAGACGTTCTGATTGGGATTATTAATGAATGCAGTGAAAATTCTTGCTGTTTGTAAGACTTCTGCCACAGACAGCTCAGACACCCCCCCAACTGGTTTTTCTGTGTTGTTGTTCTTCCACAGACTCCTTCTATGGCCTGACAGATGGAGTATTCATCTTTGAAGCTGTTTCCCCAGAAGATAACAAAACCACACAGGGCTACGACGCTATTGTTGTGGAACAATGGACAGTCCTGGAAGTAAGTGTGGCGCTGCCTCATTGCTGCCTTTGTCTGGGGAGAGATTGTTTCTCAGCTTGCTCCAGCTGACTGTGAGGCGGGTGCCCAGCTGTGCCTTTCTTCTGAAAGGGGGTTCACCTGAGTAAACCCTGTGAGGACCTTGATTCTTTTCTACCCTGCCCCTAAGCTGAAGTGGACTCCACATCTCTTTCTACAAGAAAAGCATGTATCCTTATATGTGTCAGGCTACAGTAAACACAAGCGATAGACAGCCATGCTCACAAAACTGTAATCCTAAGAGCCACGTGGTTTTCAGAGGTATAACCTGGCCAGTGCTTGCAAGCCACCCTTGGAAGAAGTGGACAGGAATAACTAGGGTCTCTCATCTGAGTTTCACACCAGAAGTGATAACCATGAGGCCACTACATGGCTCTGGGTAAACCCCACGTCTTTTGAACAGCTGTCTTCCTTCTAAGATCCCCTGGATTTTCCCCAGCCATGAAGCATGGATGTTTTAAGCCAGTCTCAGCCCATGACTAGACCAGCATTTCTCAAGAGGGACCTTTTGTCAAAATCATACAACAGAGTTTCTCCAACGTAGATATTTGGGCCCCACCCTGGAAGTTTACTTTCTGCCTAGACCACTAATAACAAAATGTCACAGATGGGATTTTGTACTGTTCAGGAGACTAGAAAGTCCAACGTCAGGGTTGTCCTGTTCAAGACTCTCACCCAGAGTATGCTTATGGGCAAGAGCCAGTGAGCTCTCTGGTGTCTCCTAGAACATTAATCCTAATGGATCAGGGACCTACTCTTGTGACCTTATTTAACCATAATTGCTTCTGTAGAGGCCATCTCTGCACTGAGTGTTAAGTGTAGGTAGGACAAAAATGTTCAGGCTCTAGTGGTACTCTGAGGCTGGTCCCATGAATTTGTATTTATAATTCTCTGTCAAATGAGTTGCTGCTGGCAGTGGTCACAAGATGAAATCCTGGGGACCCTACTCTTTGAGCTTGTTCCTGGTACAGTGTCCAGCTGGGGACAGGTTTGCAGGTGTGGCCCTCTGAAGAGGCTCCATTGAATACCCACTCTGACCCATAGCCAGCCCATCTCCATGACATGTGGGTGTGTCTGAACCCATTCACACGGCCCTAAGTCCAACTACATCTTCTCTTCTCTGCCATTTGGCCATAAAAAGCTTTTCCCCCTTATGCCTGGACACACACGTGAAACGTAGTGGGTTTGGAGTTGAAGGGGACACCCTGAAGCAGATCATCCTATTGGATAAGAGCTTTATTGGAATAGTAACACCACAGACAAACATGCCATAGGTGGGCAGCGTGGCAGGGGCTCTGAGGAGAGTTTAGGTCTGTACAACAGAGTGGGGTCCCTTCTAATGGAGTGAAAAGCGGGGGTTCGTGTCATATGGTTGTTTAGCCGAGTATGCCACAGTATTTACTTGCAGTCAGGTTTTCTCTAATTCCTGGGCAGGATGGGAAGGGGAGGGAAGTATTGCACTGCCGGGAAGGGAGGAAGGTATCTTACTGATGAGTGACATTTACTTAATGTGTATCCATTATATTCGTATGTGGGGGGTGCCACTGCTGGCCTTCAGATATCAAATCTGAAGGTAGCTGGAGCCTGCAAATGAGAATTAGGGTGCCATCTCTCCTAGAATTCTGGCACCTGAAGTCTATTAGAATCTTCCAGAGTCTCACATAGACTGTCCTCTGGGGCTTGCTATCTCCTTTATTGAAGCTCTGAGAGTGGCTGCTGCAGGTAGCTGTGGCCTGACCCCCACCCCACAACATAACATCTCCTCTCTAGCTTCCAGTTGACCCTGTTTTTATGACAATCACTGTCCTCCCAGGCTAGCTTCTAACCACCTGGGCTCTGGGTATTATCAAAGTTGGGGGTCACAATCTATGCCCCAAGCCAGGTTTGGCCACCTGTCCTCAATAAGCCAATCACAAGAGTCAGACTAAAGGTGTGATACTGGAAAAAAAGAGAGATTTGTTCAGTGTGGCCACATCAGAATCAGGGGCAAAAAGAAGGAATGACTCCCCAAGTCCATCTTTATGGTTCTGAAGAGAGATTGAAGTTTAACATCTGTATTGGTTAGGTTTTTGTCAACTTGATGGAAGTTAGAGTCATCTGAGGAGAGAACCTCAGCTAAGGAGAAAAGCTCCTGTCAGCTCGACCTGCAGGCAAGCCTGTGGGGACTTTCTCCATTGATGACTGATGTGGAAGGGCCCAGCCAACTGTAAACGGTGCAGTAGCTGGGCACATTGGTCCTGGGATATGTAAGAAACTAGCTAAGCAGGACATGGGGAGCAAGCCAGTAAGCAACACTCCTCTGTGGCCTCTGCTTCAGCTCCTGTCTCCACTTCCTCACTGAAAGACTGTAAAGTCAAATAAATTCTTACCTCCTGACTGTGTTTTTGCTTCTGGCCATTATCACAGCAATGGGAAGCAAACTAAGACCACGATAAACAGTCCTATAACCCTGTGGCCCCACCCAACCCACCTGGCCTCTCACTGCCTGGCCTGCAGTCTTGTTCTGGAAGGTGGTTTGGTAAGCTAGAGCTGGGTGAATCTTTTCTGGGAGACAAGCTCCTCTCTGGCTGGGGCCCTCTCCTTCACAGCATGCATTCCTGGGGAACTCCTGTTTCTTTGGGGTCCATTGTTTCAGTAGGTCTGATTGAGAGACAAAGGTTTCTGTAGAACACCCTTGTTTCTGCCAGGCCTGCTACATGAGTGTGTGATGCTATTGTGGGCGTTTTCTTTCTCACTAGTGATTGCTGGCTATCCCTTTATTCCTGGCCCCGCTTTCAGTCCTGTTCCAATTCTGTCACTATGTTTTGGTTCCCCTTTTTACATACACATACTTTCACCAGGGAGCCTGCTAGCTGTTCTCAGCCCTGAGACAATGCCACATGTTAAGAGCAGGAAGCTGACTGGGAAGCTGGACAGGCGTGGTCCTCTAGTTCCCAGCCCAGCCTCTCAATGTAGAGAGGAAACCCACTCCCTCCCTCTTTCCACTTTTAGGTGTTGTAAGTGGATGCTGGCAATGATGTCTCAAAGCTGGGACAAATTAAAGGAGAAACTCCAGTCTGGTACGGTGGCCTGGACCTATAATCTCAACTTTTGGGAGTAAGACCTGAGGATTGCCCAGAGCTCTATGCCAGACTGTGTTACATAGTAAGACACTGTTTTAATCCTCAACCCCAAAGAGAAAGTAAATTGAAAACCTTGACTGTGGGCCTGGCACACAGAGCTGCTATAAACAGTAGCCCATCAGCTGCCTGGGGCCACTCATGACATAATTCACCTGCTGATCTGTCTGGGGAGCTTTGAGGATAAATACAGAGATTTCAGGGGTGATGGGGCCAGATTATATGCTAAAACAAGCTTTGAAAGAAAGAAAAAAATAATTGTGGGGGACTGGAGACATGGCTCAGTGGTTAAGAACACTAGCTGTTCTTCCAGAGGACCTGGGTTCAGTTCCCATCACCCACATAGCAGCTCACAGATATCTGTAACACTGGTTTCAGGGGGTCTGACACCCTCACACAGACATACATGCAAGCAAAAACCAATGCACATAAAATAAATAAATCATTTAAAAAGAAAGAAAATAGTTGTGTTACCCTTAGTTGTAAATCCATGACCTAAAGTGCCAGGTACATGGGAGGAAGCTAAGAGCTCTCGTGGGACATTTGTATGAGGGATTCTCAGTCTAGACTCTGAGCAGAAAGGGAATGGGCTGGGAAAGAGCAAGCACAGAGCAAGAGAGAGGGAAAGAAAAGATAGGTGGACTGAGTCTCTTTGAGTCTGTGTGTCTGGATGTGACAGCCCAGAAGAATCTAGATGCCATTATCAACATAAAACCACAGCCCTCATCTTAAAGGGAATAAGGAATAGTTTATTCTGGAGGGACCATTTTGAGGGACCATGGCTTGACAACACAGATTTAAGTTGCACCAAGTTCCATATTCCAGTGTGGAAGCAGTTTTGTCATTTACAAAGCAAAGAAAGTCATAAATCAAGACAAGTCTAAAATACAATGGTGAGTACATCAGAGAGGTGGTTACAGCAAGATGGGGGCGCTTTTCTATAGGCCTAAGATGCTGTAGGGTGGCATTCTTAGCTTTAGGGTTGGTGGAAGCAAGGGGTCTGCTGAGTCAATAGATTCTGAAAGGTTTTTATCTATGAATCTCAGGATATTAGTTCTAACACAAGTGAATGAGGAAACTAGGCAAAGATAAGGTGATGAGCCTCTGGACCTCTGGCATTCCAGTCTCTCCACAGAGCTACAGCAGCAGCCAGCTGCTCTCTGCAGACACAGCTCCTTCCTGGGGGTTTCTGTTGGCATCAACAAGTGCTGCCATCGTCTGTCTCCCCGGAGTATGTTCTAGTTCGTCAGTGCTTCCTATGATATCTGGTCCTAGATATGAACAGAAGGTGGTAGAAAAAGCATGCCTAAGCCAGGCCTCATCCTGCAATCCCAGCTACAGAGGAAGCTGAGGCGAGAGTATTACAGGTTCAAGGCTTACCTGGTTACAGACTTTAAGACCAGCCTCCCTTTAAGACCAGGGCTCCCTCGGATGGAATTCCACCTCACCCTGTATAACAAATGTGAGCAGTGCAACACTGACTTCTTCAGACTGTAGAGAGAGATGAAGGCAGCGTCCTGGATTTTCATGGTTTCCTTATAGACCAAAAGTTTATATTCCAAATTGTTTAGGCTTCAAAAAAATCAGCTTCATTTCTGAGAAAGGAGGTTAGCCTTCAAAAGATTCACCTTAGTTCTTTGAAAAATAACTTTTTTTGACAGTTCATTTGTTTAGTGGTTTAGAAAATGAAACAGGACCTAAGTAAACACTGGGCTATTGCACTTCATTCCCAGCCCTTACTTTTCAAGACCAAGCTTCCCTTTGTAGCTCAGGCTGACCTTGAACTTGTGATGTTTGTGCTGGAGTTACAGGCCTGCACCATCTCACCCAGTTCCTGTTGAGACA